ATCCTTTGTTAAGATATAGAAAGCTGATATCTCAAGGTTTTTCTGTAGGCTTCTTGTCACATCTGAATTATTCGTGTAACACATGGAGCAACTTGATTTGTGTGAAAGGTGATGCCTACAAAGATTCCCTTATGAACTGTGCGATGGAAATACTAAGCATTTTGCTTTTCTATTGCGATCAACCAGAAACGAGCTCCAGAATTTTCTTTTATTCGCGTATTAGGAGCTAGGAATTTGGGGTAATTCAGTAGAACATCGAGAAAATGGGAAGGCAGACGCTATATCGTAATTGTGAGGGGGAAGGGCGAGAACGCAGTATCGTATTTCTGAGAGACAGTGAACTTATAGATGTTATTTGAAAGGCAAATTTGACAGTGTGAACTACTTACAAATAAGAAAACCCGTATTTTAAATTAGAGAGCTGTTATGTTCCTATATGTTGCTATTTAGAATAATTAATTAGTTATTATAGCTCATTAACCAAGCTACTGCTAATCAAGAGACTGGTCTCAGAAGAAGAATCTGTTGACGTGCTTATAATTTACAAGTTAGGCAAGCTGATGTGACACTTCGTGATAAACGAAATTTTGTTTACCAAATACAGGCTTTTTCGTATTCGCCGTATAGTGCGGGTCACAATATAATCTGAATGTGCGCGTGATGATTTAAAGTTCTGTTGGCCAAAGACATGGAAGGTAATAACATACTAAAAAAACAGTTCTCGAAGTTTTATTTTTGAACTGAAGTACGCTATAAAAGCATGCTCTCAGGTTGAAGTTCAAGTTTTGAGAAATTCACTTCTCTCTCTTTCATCCTATTATTTTCTTTAGATAATAGACGGTGCATTCCGTATAGTACTAACAGCCCTCATCTGTAATTCTTGATGTAAGTGAAGATCTAAGGTGAAAGTCATTAACTGATTGGTCGCTATACATTAAGTATGTCAGTTGCTCTTATATAGCAATCTCATTATTTTATGTTACTCTCAAAAGTAAGCGTTTCAGATGCGATTTCTTACGATCTGTTTCGTATTTACACTTCTAGTTATCTGTTTCGCGGAAGAATTTGAAGCAGTTCCCGATGATGCAGAATTTCCACCAGAGTTAGCTTTGCTTCAAATTTTAAACCATATGCGTATAAGCGTTAATTTTTGTATTACAGTGCTCCACTAACTCGAGCTAAGAGACAATATGGTTGGGGTGGCTACGGTGGATACGGAGGATGGGGTGGAAGGTACGGAGGCTACGGAGGATGGGGAGGAAGGTACGGTGGTTATGGAGGATGGGGAGGACGACGCTGGGGAGGTTGGTAATTGAAGCCTTCGGATCCCTGAACTTTGGTTTTGATCAGCACTGTTTGATCTGCATCTTTGATTCGAATTATTACTCTGTTTATATGATGCAAATAAACACAGTCTTTGCTGCGTTTTTGAATCCTAACACTGAAATAAGCGCAGTTGCGACTTTGAGCAAACGTTTACAAACAAGAAGATTAACTAGAGTTGTCAGCTTTTATGGAACACTAAAATAACCACTTGACTACTTCAGCATGTTAAAGCAGAGCATATAAGCTGTTGAAAAAGTTTTTCAGCGTTTCTGTATTTTGTCATTTTTGGGTTTGGTTTCTGAATTTTCCCAAACAAAACACATACTGCGTAGTCTACCTTTACGAGATTTTTAGCATGATTGCGTTACGATTAGAGAAAAAATATTCTTTGCAAGCAGATTTACCTGCTCCTGTTTCTTGATTACAGGAAGCCAAACAATGCAGC